TTCACAACGAAACACACAGCACCTTCACGACATGGCAGCAGCAACAATACAGAATAAAAGTTACGCCTTCTTTCTTTGCGTGAACATTTGGGCGGCGTTATGCAAATCTTCCCAGATAGTGACGTAGGTATGTGGGGGCGTGTTAGAACTAGCTGTTTTAGGTAGGCGTGGCTGACTCTTAACTTTTATAAAGAATATCTCTTTGGATTTGAGACTTTAGTCTTTGCAACTTTACAGATCTTCGTTATGCACCAAGAGCTTGTAACACTCCAAAGAGAAAGGAAAAATTGAAATAGCATCATATGACCCCTTTAAAGTAGTCCTAAGGGCATATTTGTTCTACTGCATATGGCTATATTTGTTCTTTTCCAGTCAAACACAATCTGTGCTTATTCTATGGAAACTATGCAAACATCTGAAAATGTGTTTGAAAGCCATGCAACAGTGTAAGCAGCAAAATACAAGACCAGACTTGATGTAACCAACCAGGAGCTGATGCATGACTCAGTCTTATTAGGAAAAGGGTGATGGGGGTGATACAATTACAAGAAATTGATCTGTAGAATGCTATATAGGGAGGATATTTAAAACTGTTTTGTTCACTTCTGTTTTGAAAAACAGGGATACAAAGTTTCAGCTCTAAAATGCACTTTTTATGGTCCTCTAGAGTTCTTTCCCCAGAAAAAGTGCTGCACGTGAGCTACATTCTGCATGCACAAAAATGCACAGGATCAAACTTTTAAAACGTTGCCCTTTTCACCCTCCCAAAGCTCAGATGTAAGAGTGTTTTGATCACCCAGAGTAATGTGTGCAGCCACACCTGCGAGAGAGAGACTTCATACTAGACCTGGCGAGTAAATTCCAGGAAAGGAATGTGCTGGAGGCAGAGATTGTCATGACTCCAATAACACCCTTCCACGGGAAAGGCCGATGACCCCTAACCCTAACAATTTACATTGCTTGCATAAGTATGTTTAGATAAAAATATTCGTTTTCTGAAGTACAATACTATCTATTTAAAGTATTTTTGTATAATGTACTTTTGTATAATGCATAAGGAAAATATATATATTGTTGCTTTTTCTTGTTTTTGATCCTTTATTTATTTATAATTTTTAAAAATGTATGATTTTACACACACACTTTTTTTGCATGATAATACTATTTACTCTTCATTTACATTTCATTTTAATTTAAATTTTTTCACTATTACTTACATTTCTTGCATATGGAAGAAACAATAAAGTATTATTAAGTATTATTAATTCAATAACACACTCAAGCTCTAAATCTATAATGGTATGTGCCAATGAGTTTCTATTCTTCTACATCCTGCAGAACTGGCTGCTTTGTGGAAACCCTGATCTGGAGGCCCCCAAAAACTACTCATTTTGGATGTTTCCTTAATCCAACACACCTGATTCAACTTCAATCAGTCCATTCTGATGACCTGTACTTGACCTGTACTGGGAGTGCCAGTTTAGGGAGACATCCAGAATGTAGTATTGAGGGGCTGCAGGAATTATTCTCGCGTACTTGCAGTGTTAACTTACCTGCGTCATAAAATGTATCAAGCACTGTTGTCTCCCCAAAATCTAATCGTCCGAAAGTTACTGTGGTTAATATGGCACTTTCCGCGTCGCAGGCGCGTTGGAGACACTGGAGCGCCCCGGATTCCGGGCTGTTCGCGGCCACTGCCTTCAGTCCATCATTCAGCACATAAACCGCCCGTAGGGACCTCTGTTTGGTCACCGGACTCGGGCTGGTCACATCAGCCCTCTCCACGCCTGCAGACATGGAAGCCGCAGCGTTGTGGTCGCCACCCGCCTCTGCTGTAGGTTGATTGGACATGATCTCCATAGTGCGAGTAATTGTTTTGTCCCTCTGCGCGTTCCTCCTTTTCTTTCCGCCGTTAATCAATAATGAATAACCAAAGTTTAGTGCGCACCTGTGGCACGGAGAGGTGCGTGGCTGTGACGTCCAGCGTCTTGCGATTCATTAAAGCAGCGCGCATCACTACATATTACAATGTGGTCCAGTTTTATCTCGTTTGCGCCAGCGGTTATGCAATTACACGATACGATTTGTGTATTCAGTGCAGAAAGTCAGACAAACTTGAGGCGCACCGCGCGCGCTGTGTCTCCAAAGACACGCGTTACCATCCTATTTGAGGAAGTCATTCCTCCTGCCCTTTCTGCAAAATGCACCATCCGATTATTTCCTCAAACGTGTGTCCTTCCGTTCAGGCGTGGGTATATTTCACAAGCGAGGCAAAAACTGCGCAAATCTAGAGCGCAAGTAACAGCTCGCGGCTGTTACTGCAAGTACAGTCACTATTAAATCATCTGGAGCAGATGTCTAAATATAAAACATATCCGTGTTGATACGCGCATGGCAAACAGAGTTACGTCAGGTCCAGGACTCCAGCTCGCCAAACTGGTTTACTTAACTGTAATTTTCGTTTAATTTCAGATTAGACAAGAATCGGAACTAGACTAGTCCAAAATATATCTTGGACTAGTAGTATATACCTTGCGAGGCTTCGTGGCAGGGCCGCTGCTGGCCAAATGAGTGCCCTAAGCAGAATTGTATTGTTGTGCCCCCTCCCCCAAATATTATGGATGTAAAAAAAAAAACATCTACTATAGGGGTCAAAATATAACTTTAATAAAATATAAAAGTAAATAAATAAATAAATTGTAATTAAATTGTATTATTTACAAATTACAGTTGTAGCTCTAGACAGTTACCAATGGTTATTATTTTATTAAGTTGTCTGATTGATTTTATAGTCTCAAGCATTCAGAAATCATGCAAAAGAAAACTAAGCAGTTTTACTACGATAAAACCATGGTTAATTTTTGTAAGGGTTGTGATGTCCACATGTTTTTGTTGAAGAAAATATAGAGGCTGTAGCACTTCTATCGCAAAAAGGTGGCCAAAAATGAAAGATTGAGTGATTATTTGAATTAGCCTAAATGTTTGGTTAATATTAAAAGACTTGATCGTCCTGTAAGTGTAACAGCAGATCCCTTTACAGGCATTTGTAATAATATGTAATGTACATAAATAGTTTATTTTGTATTAGCCTACATTATATATTTTAACAGTGTTATTCAATGAAACCATATAATTATTAATTAACCAATCATTATTGCCTCATTGTTTTATATAATTTTAAATAATTTTAAAGGCTGTTGTTGGCTTAGGTCTGATTTTATAACCACAACAAATATTATCTTAATACTTTTTTTGTAAACTATTTGAAGTAACAAAACCATGGTTAATTTGTGGTTACCATCCATGGCTACAAGAACCATGATTTTTGGTTTTATTCATTACCATGGCTAATTTTCATAAGGGAACATGGAAACTCAGAGAGAATATATAACAACCAAAAAAGTTTCACAGGATTATGAACAGTGTTGGGGAAAGTTACTTTTAAAAGTAATGCATTACAATATTGCGTTACTCCATAAAAAAAGTAACTAATTACGTTACTTAGTTACTTTTTATGGAAAGTAATGCGTTACATTACACTTTTGCGTTACTTTCGCGTTACTTTTTAAATATGAGCAGGGCTTGATTGTTTTTAATATAAGAAGTTCTATTTATAGCAAATGTAAAAGCCCTTTCACGCCAAAAAGTGTAATGAATAAACCTCAGGCTGAAGGAAAAGTAAATTCACGTCTGTACAGTAGAACACAGGAGAAGAAGGTTCAACACTCTTCAGCAATAAAAAAATCAATGAAGCACAATTGTTAGTTTATCTAATTTTTGCTTATTAGTATGGTTGAACTGGATCATCAAAGGTCAGCAGCAAAGACATTGGTTAATAAAATGGGATTAGATACATTTGTGTTATTTAACATTTA